TTTTTTCAGGAGCTGGGCTTGGCCCCTTAGTTCCAGTGAAAGGAACTTTGAATGCTTCAGAATACCAAAACATTTTGGACAATTCCATGATTGAACTCTGGGTTAGGAATGGGATGGCACTTCAGTTCATAGTATGAGTCAAGGCAGGTGAGCCAATACTTTTGGTCATATAGTGTAGGTTTGGATTTGTTTTGGTGCCTTAGTAAATGAAATCATCATTTCGAAACTGCATTTTGTATTTCCTTGGGTTTGATGATCTGAAACCTTTGTGTGTGTGATAAATATGCAAAGAACACAGAAATCGGGAAGGTGGCAAATACTTTTTCACTGCACTGTACACTGGGTATGGAAAGTATTCAGACCCCCTTAATTTTTTCACCCTTTGTCATATTGCAGCCATTTGCTAAAATCATTTAAATTATTATATATATATATATATTAGTTAGTTTCCAGGCTGTCATTGAAAAAATATAAAACTGTAATAATATTTGTATAAAAAATAAAACACTATAAGGGCTTATTCTGGCCTGTGGGCCACTGGACGTTAAATAGTTGTAGTAATATTATTCTTAACTGTCTTACGAGCTGGTGATGACCTTAGCCTGGCTGATGCTTTGGACCCCATCAATGACATCAACAGGAAGGACAAGGACAAAGGACAGGGAGGTGGGTGAAAGGTCTTTTTGAATGTCTCATGTTGGTCTTGTTTTAGACCTTGTGTGAGTAGTACAGTGCAGCGCTTTCGTATCTTTACCTACAACGTTTTGTTACAAGAAAGTTCTGTAAAAAGTGTTACATTGCCAAATCAAGGAATTCACATATAAACATGTGAAACAGTGAGAGAGAAAAAAAACAATAGGAAGGAAAGGAAAATGAACTACTTGTTATTGTGACACAGCACACCACTGCACACAACGAAATGTGACCTCTGGTTTGAACCCATCACCAAAGTGAACAGTGGGCAGCTTTAAGCGCCCAGGGATGGTGCCTTGCTCAGAGCACCTCGGTGGTAACTTGGCAGCTGGTGGATTTGAATACGAAGCCTTCCAGACCCAAGTCCACTTCGTTAACCACTAGGCCAAAACACTATAACCTGTGAGGTGAAGACAGTTGCAGGGAGAGAGAAGACAAGGGTATTGTTAGTGCGCCATGGGAGTTCCCTCAGCAGTTTAGGCCTATAGCAGCATAACTAAGAGATAATGAGCCAGCCATTTGAATAGGGTATATCAAAAAGGAAGGTTTAATTTATGTCTAATTGTAAATATAGTGCTGTTTTCAGCTTCGTGAACCCACCCTGGCAGCTGGTTCCAGAGGTAGGCAAAATAGAGAAATAATTAGAAATAAAGCAAACAATACAGAAGGTTCGTGGGAGATGCGTACGGACGTCGACAAACAGGTGAAGTGGACGAGTGGGCTGCTCGGAGTCCTTGGCCAACTAGCATCAGCATCAGCGTCTGTAAGCGTGCTCGTACCGCAAATCTTTAGTCGTAACTCGAAGCATAAATTGGCTCGAAGGCTTTCTCGTGTCTCGATGTCGAGACGCTCGTATCTCGAGGTTCCACTGTATATAAAAGTTAAAGCCACTAGGCGGCAGAATTGCAGCTCATT